TCACAGGAAATGCATTCTTTGTACGATGCCCGCTATATCTTGACCATGTGGTTATGAATCACTATTACTATGCTGGAAGACCGGGATTTCACATATATTTGTGGTCTGTAAACTTCTGATGGCATTTGCTTCATTTATAGTTACAGGTTCAGTGACACATTCCCCACCGAACAAGCGATGGGGATTGCGTACGATTGTGATATACAAAGTTGAACAATGTTTTGACGTAATTGAAATTGGCTCTGTTCAGAGATTGCAGAAATTCAAGAAAATCCTTTTAGTCATTAAGAATCCACAAGGTGTTAATTTCACTCGTCTCACTTACTTTCTCTGAATCTAAAATTGCCATTCCGAGATTGTATTAAGGTTTGTATTGTATTGATGGTTAATCTTTTGATAAGACAGGGATTATGTTGTACATTTGCTGGAGCCATCAATGCATCTCTCACTATATTTTTATGTTTTAGAGACAAGACAAAACTTGATAGTACTGATCCGTGGTTTTGGCAGATTTATCACACTAACTTTACACTTGGTATTATTTGCTGTGTCACTGATAAGAATTACAAAGATATAAAAGAAACAAAACCCTTTCCATAACTATGAGAAATCTCTGCCAAATACAGAGTCAATTAATTGAACACATCAGACAAGACAGGACTGGATGTTCTTACACTGCATGAGGAATACTAACTTTCCAACTGAAGATAATTTTGTAAAGTCATTTACTTGTTCAGTTTTGTTTGTTAGTTTACACCGAATGCCCTCATACATGGGGCAGTCTATTTGGATGTGTGTTGCATCTTCTATTTCATTACTGAAACGGCACTTTCTATCTGAAAGTGGTGTAACAGGCTTAGTGTAACAGCCACTCCTCGTTCAACATCGTAGCCTTGCAAGATATTAACGCTTGTTTCTTGGGCATGGGCATGGTCTAGGTTTCGAAACTTCTTGGAGGGCATCAAACTAACTGGATTTTGACCGCTGTATTATCCTGCTTAGCCTACAGTACATCAAGGAATTTGTACAGACTAGGATGCCAACCACGCGAGATGATTTGTTGGCGTCGACTTTCTGCTCAGTGACATGTTATTGTGCTTCGTGACAAAGTCATCTTTGGTGCTAATGGTGGTCGGGCATCCTCTTTGGGGTCATGTCCAATGAATTGAAGTTTGACGTCCGGTCTTAACGATGAACTTGCATCCGGCAAAGAAACAAGTGCCGACGCTCTCTTAGAAATGGGAATAGTCTGTCTTTCATCCTACACATTTGCCACAGTGGAAAACTGTTTCTTGTCTGTAATTCCATTTACTGCCCAAATCGTACTAATTGATTGATTAGTTCACTCACTCGTTGATATATATTTTTGAAGTTTTAACTCAGTACAGAAAATGTGAATACAGAGGCCAGTTGGTTGTGTCATTATATTGTTTCAGAAATATACCAAATAGTTGTGTCATGTGTGAGATGTTGCTGTATTTCTTTTCTTGGTTTCTGTATAATATGTATGTTTATGAAAAGGATTGTCTAGATTGAAGTCATTAATTATTCATCTGATTAGTTCTTCATTACTGCTGTTAAGAATCTGCATCCATGTATATTGCAGACACTGCGACGCGGTATCCATAAATGCATAATTTGTGTCCTAATTACATCAAAAAGAAAGTAGAATATCCTTCGATAAGCAGTAACACTGGTCACAAGTTCAAACTATTTCCAACAAGCACTTGATATTTTTCTTTGAAGTTCCTCTCTCACTCAAATACAGAGAATATATCTGATCCACGTTGTTCATAAAATGCTGTGACAGTTTACAGTAAAACATCACTCCTATGCTGTATGAATGCAGATTTTCAATATTTCCTTCTGTGGTAATGAGTATTTTATAGCCATTTCCCGTGGATGAAACTCAACCTATGGCACAATGAGCAAAGCAAGTTCCCTTTCATCGGATCACCCAGGAGAATGTCTTAAGTAATACCAACCTTATTCACAGAGACGTTGCTAAAATTATTGATCTTGGGCCACGAATCTGATTAATATAAACCCTTTTTATTCAAGCCAGCCCAAGTTGAGAGAGTTAAGGGATCCGTTAAATAATATGTATCGTCGTCTATTGTTCGACAACAAATACAGCCCCTAAGATTCACCCACTAATGTCAAGTGGGAATTCCATTTACCCAAACAGAGGTCGAACATTCTTTTAATAATCAGAGGATATTTCTTTTGTTGAGCTGTGTACAGTCTTTGATGACGTCATTTTGTCTATACCACATCGCCAGGTTTTCAAAGAGATGCACAGATGAAATGGAACGATCGTTATTTATGTTCTTATTAATCTGAACTAAAACTATGCGCATTAGACGGACCAGGAACAGATCGCGACCAACATTATGTAGATTATAGACGACTCAATTCATTTATGTCAGATACCTCTCGGTAATTTGAACGTTTTGCTTAATTTGTTTCCAACTGGTTTCACGCACACATTATGGCAAAAATTTGTGTTCCTCCATGCTTTAAAAGGATATCGATGCTAGTTTGTCAACTTGCCAACGGAATCCCATTTCATTTAATCTACAAATGTTCGCACGCTTAAGGCCTCTGATAAAATAAACACATGTGAATGTTTGAAAGTCCCCATTAAGAAGATACTGGTGGGTCATGCAATGGTAGAACCAGTAACAGCTTGGAAATAAAAGTTATTTGAATATCAATGTGTCTTCAATGTATAATACTGTCCTATTAGGCACCACACATAGCATTAACGAAGTCACCGACACTCATCGATGCATGACTGTTTATATCTTTACAAGTGTGAAGTATCCCAAACTTGAAGCCTTTATTTGATATTGCGTATTACTATAACATAGACGCAGCTTATCTCTTCGTAAGCTTTGAACAATGTACGGTACAGTTTTTATTCTGTGGGGTATTCTTGGGATATTGCAGGGCTGCAATACGCCAGTGCTTGAATTTTGTCTTTGAATATGAAGATATACATGTATTTAAAAGGGATATGGAACCTACAAAATGATCTTTACGTAGGTTGTCTGTACAAGAATATTTAATAAGAAAATGATTAGTTAGAAAAAGGAGGCTATACAACATTAGCATTAGAATTCTTGGGGCGTTGACACCACTGTCATACACCAAACTCTCAATTAATGTCGTATTCACCTTGCTTATTACAATAGCTATGTCAACAATGTGGTATAGTCAGTGTACACTGTGATTTGTCTTCCACCTCGGCGGATTTACTGAACATATGATATGTACACGGTTGTTCGTCTGTCAAATCATCTGTGCTCATTACATATATAAATGAATTAAATATACACTGCCCGTCATTTCTATTCCGTGGGAGTTCTGTTTGTGACATAGATAGTTTCGGTAATGGCTACGGTAATACAACTTTATATGGGGAGTAGAACAGGGTGTTTGTTTTGCACAATACAGTTCATGACGCCAAGCACAGCCAGAGATCAATGTTTGGTCACACCCGCACCCAAGTTCCCACACCTCCTCTCCACACGTACACACCCCACCTCCTTGAGTAGCAAATAGCCAGTAGTCCCATGTCATGAGAAGATTACAGTTATAATTTCTTCGTACCAAATGACGTTGTCGTTATGTATGCTTTGACGTAACGGCTATTTACAATTAGATGATATTGAGGAGACCCACCAAGGACTACCCTTACCACGCAATCTACTCACGGTTAATTACAAAGTGTTGGATAAATAAGGAAACCTTCCACACGCTGTTCGTCTTTAGTGCTGAGGCGAAAACGTTTGGAGTCAAAACCTCATTCATATGTTTTTTCAGGTATAGTTCTATGTACAATTGTGTCATTAACGCGATAATCCCCATGTTAGGAATCCATAGTTTATCTATTACACTTAGACAAACAGCATGTGTCTTTGTAATAATTGCTTCTGTAAGACGCAGCCTGCATACGCATCATGCATGTGACAGGTGTGGGTGGGAACCGGACTGTGAAGTTTGGGTTCAACATCATTACCACCTTAATCAAGTCACAATCTCCAGACACCAACATAGGTGTTGCTCTGTATGCCTCTGTGAGGGATCGATTCTCACATGGCTATCCTCAGCACAAGGCAATATGTCAGCTGTTTAGCTTAACAATTCTTGTCATTAGTTTGAATTTTGGGCAGTTTGATAGAAGAACACTGCCATCTGACAGCATTTCAAAACTTGGAGGTCATTATCTCTACAGATGATAATTACGATAGAAGTTCTCTGTCTCAATGCTGTTTCATGTTGAATTTGTCAATTCAAACTTAAATTTACAGCATACATCCAAAGCATATGGTGTTTCGATACTCTCTTTAAAGTTTCTATTCTGTGTTGGTATTGTGACGTCAACATTGGTTTCAACGACTGCCATCATCTCCTAGACACCTACAGCAACATTGCAGCGATGTGGCTGACAGCCTGTCAGTTATGTTATTACATGTATCCTAGAGACCGCAATCTTCAAACACACGCAACTATGCCATTAGATGCCAACTTCTAACCTAACATACAGAGAATCTAGTTGCCATTCTGGTATTCTGCACAGTATTCTGTTTGGAGAACATGATATGATCATTTGTCTTCTTTTCCTCGGGGAAATTGTGTGTGAAAGAATCGGTTTGTTTTTTTCTGAATGGAATTCTGGACATGGCTTAATTTTCAAACACAGACCAAAAAACAAAAACAAACCTATTCTTTCACACATAATTTCCCCCAGAATGAGTATCCTTGGCAACAATACGCATACTGTTTGAGGTCGCCCGAGTTCATTTGTATGGTGTAAGTGGAGTCAGTGGATATTTGACATTTGTATTATATTCGTCCACGTTTAAAAATATGCCTGTCCAATCACAAGTGGACTGTGCAAATTCATAGTTATACCAACATTCAACACGTGTTGTACACCGGAGGAACATGGCCTTCTCTATGTGACTCTAGGACAGGACGTGCTTACCCTTATTATGGCCAATGAACAAGTAGAGCCTGTAGTCAGGGTGCGTGTGTCTACGAACACCATACAGGGTGACAAAGGCTTGTCTACAGCCGGGGCGTGTGTGTCTAGGAACACCATACAGGGTGACAAAGGCGTGTCTACAGCCGGGGCGTGTGTGTCTACGAACACCATACAGGGTGATAAAGGCTTGTCTACAGCCGGGGCGTGTGTGTCTAGGAACACCATACAGGGTGACAAAGACGTGTCTACAGCCGGGGCGTGTGTGTCTACGAACACCATACAGAGTGACAAAGGCGTGTCTACAGCCGGGGCGTGTGTGTCTACGAACACCATACATGGTGACAAAGGCGTGTCTACAGCCGGGGCGTGTGTGTCTACGAACACCATACAGAGTGACAAAGGCGTGTCTACAGCCGGGGCGTGTGTGTCTACGAACACCATACAGGGTGTCAAAGGCGTGTCTACATCCGGGGCGTGTGTGTCTACGAACACCATACAGAGTGACAAAGGCGTGTCTACAGCCGGGGCGTGTGTGTCTACGAACACCATACATGGTGACAAAGGCGTGTTTACAGCCGGGGCGTGTGTTTCTACGAACACCATACAGAGTGACAAAGGCGTGTCTACAGCCGAGGCGTGTGTGTCTACGAACACCATACGGGGTGACAAAGGCGTGTCTACAGCCGGGGCGTGTGTGTCTACGAACACCATACAGAGTGACAAAGGCGTGTCTACAGCCGGGGCGTGTGTGTCTACGAACACCATACAGGGTGACAAAGTCGTGTCTACAGCCGGGGCGTGTGTGTCTACGAACACCATACAGAGTGACAAAGGCGTGTCTACAGCCGGGGCGTGTGTGTCTACGAACACCATACAGGGTGACACAGGCGTGTCTACAGCCGGGGCGTGTGTGTCTACGAACAACATACAGAGTGACAAAGGCGTGTCTACAGCCGGGGCGTGTGTGTCTACGAACACCATACAGGGTGACAAAGGCGTGTCTACAGCCGGGGCGTGTGTGTCTACGAACACCATTCAGAGTGACAAAGGCGTGTCTACAGCCGGGGCGTGTGTGTCTACGAACACCATTCAGAGTGACAAAGGCGTGTCTACAGCCGGGGCGTGTGTGTATTCGAACACCATACAGAATGACAAAGGTGTGTCTACAGCCGGGGCGTGTGTGTCTACGAACACCATACAGAGTGACAAAAGCGTGTCTACAGCCTGGGCGTGTGTGTCTACGAACACCATACAGGGTGACAAAGGCGTGTCTACAGCCGGGGCGTGTGTGTCTACGAACACCATACAGGGTGACAAAGGCGTGTCTACAGCCGGGGCGTGCGTGTCTACAAGAAAATACAAAAGATAACAAATCCTTGTCCTACCAAATTCGAAAGAAGAAATCATCTAACTGTTACTTTAAGTCCAACTTGATGAGTGAATTTGAATATGATCTGTCTGATAGTTATTAAGCTATCAGAACAATGCCATAGAATTAGGATCGATACTTTGTGTTTCTTTGTTACTAAGGTACACACCAATATGAACAGAGTCAAAGTCAAACATGTCACCATAGACACAGGAAATAATTATTTTTTAATTTTCTAAATAGCAAAAGGGGCAACTTCAGCCCCTGCTTAATACATGTACCAAGTCAGGATAATATCTTGATAGTTTCTTAGTTCGGCTCCGGAAACGACACCTACCTCCGTTTCAGCTAACGTGTTTCTATGGAAACAGGGAAATATTAAATTTTGAAAAAGTATCCTAAATAGCCAAAGCCACCACTTCAGACCCTGAATAATTCATATACCAAGTTTGGATGAAAAATCCTTCACGGTTATGCTCCGGAAACGAAATACAGACGGGCGGACAGACAAACTTATCAGATGGTGACTATATCCCCGCTTTACATCCCAAGGGGACAAAAAGCGACAAACCCCATGGACGGTGACAAAACGATTGCTGGGTGCGTCTACAAGCTCAACAAACAGTGACAAAGTATTTCACAGCCAGTGTGTCGGTAAACCCATGGCCAGCGGTTTTGTAGATTCTTTGACAGGTTGGACTTGTCTTACAAACCCAACGAGGAGTTTTCTAAACTGAATCTATTTGGCAACTGCTATAACAAAAACAGCACAGACCCTTCATAATCACTAGAAATGTCATTCGTTGTACGATGCCTGCTATATCGTGACCATGTGATTACGAATCACTATCACTATGTTGTCAATGAGGGAGTCCAGGATTTCACATATGTTTCTTGTCAGTACACCTCAGATGACATTGCCTTCATTTGTAGTGACAGGTTTAGTGACATGGATCAAGGAATGAAGTCTGTTGTGTTGGATAGTGGTATGCAACGTTAAACAATGTTTTAACGTAATTGAAATTGGTTCTGTTCCGAGATTGCAGAAATTCAAGAAAATCCTTTTGAGTTATTGAAAATCCACAAGGTATTAATTTCGCTCGTCTCAAGTACTTTCTGTGAATCTAAAATTGCCATTCCGAGATCGTATTAAGGAGTATGGTTAAACTTTGAGAAGACGGGGATTAGGTGGTACATTTGCTGAAGGAAGCAATGCATCTCTCTCTATTTTTTATGGAGCTTTTCATCGTGTTTTAGAGTCAAGCTAAACCTTGATAGTACTGATCCGTGGTTTGGGCAGATTTAACACACTAGCCTTATATTTCCCATTATTATATATGTCACTTGTACCAAGCTCTTTGGCCAACCAATTAAAGTAGTGATGCTCTGTAAATAGTGAATCATACGCCTTAATCATTAATTTGTACCATTCATAAGTAGATGTAACGAAAACATGACCATGAACCATCAAACAATTTAAAAATATGATTCCGAAAGTAATGTGGAGATTTGTAATATAAAGTGGTCTCAAATAATGTATCTACATGTCCCAACATCCTCACCACCCTTCCAAGTGTTGCAGTAGGAAGAAAACAACTACCGAATGGATACATCGTATAAAAAGCAACGTCGTAATAGTTTATGGAGGAACACCCTTCCTTCAAATTCAAAGCGAAGTGTTTGGGAGAGGTCCAGGTGAGCGTATCCTTACCCACCTGTGGCACCAATCACAAACACACTCAAGGGAAAGTCAATTGTGCATCTGAACAAATACACGGGAATATATAGTAAAGTAAAAAAGGGAATTATTTGGATCGAATTTTATTGTCACTGGTGCGTAAAAGAAAACGTCTAGTCTGTTCCTCGTCATAAGGATACGACTACGAATGCCATTACAGTGTTGGTGATTTATTTCAATTTGCTTACTCAACAAGATGATAAGTTTCTGCATTAAACTACATTCATTATAGCTCCTCAAGTAACTGTACTATAGTGGACCTCGATTGGTTGGAAGCAATATTTTAAATTGATCGCAAGTCAGTTTTTGTAGGACAGGAGCTGCAAGAGGTGAATCCCTCCATCGGCGTTCCATCTTTTTAAGACAGTAGCGACAAAGGTCAACAAGCTTCAGTACCAGCGTGTTATCACATCCTGCCTGGCAAATGATTTTCATATGAATTAGATGAATCAATCGTCAGAAAACCCTGCAAGATGTGAACCCGTCTTGACATCATTACTGTTGGTAACAGACTACGGCGCTTCTGACAGAAAGTCAATGGCGTGAAGTGTTACAAATGGGCACAGATGAGTTGGAATCATGAATCAGCACTAGACACAAGGGTTATTGTCTAAAAACAGAAGGCTGGTTGTCTTTAAATCCATTAAGGGACCGTAAAGATAAATAATGTCTTGTTAAATTAAACTTTCGCAGGACATCAATCGAAATTGAATTCACTGACTTCAGGTTAACGCGAATGTTAGTGACAGAAACGTCAGCAGTGTTGTATTATTGAACTGAGTGTTCATCAAATGTTACTTCATTCGACATTACATCCATTGTTAGTTTGTGAATATTGTATTATTGCATATCATCTACCACAACACCGATCTATTCATGTGCGACTACGTTATAACAAATTGATTGTCAAGTACTCAGTCACACGTGAAAAATAGTATCATGGAAAAAACAAAATATTATTTAGAACGAAAACACACAAACTGAAGGTCTTCCAACCTTCACAACCACTCATCTTTCGTCTATATTTCCTTAGCTAGTAACTAAGTAACATTGGAAAGTAGTACTGCAGTTATTGGTGACTCTATAGAAGGAAAAACATTTCATCAATTTTGATTGAATATATTTTCAGTCAGGGGTTTAAGACATGACTTTTTGTCTCTGAAAGGATGCGCCAAACAATTTACTGTTCCCACATCACTCGATGAAAGAAACATGCTATTTCACGAGACACATGGAATATCCTATTTATTGTATACTTAATCTAGTTAAAAATATTGCAATATATTTAAAAAGACATCTGTCTGAATAATGTATCATAAATATTGTATTGAGCTAGTATAACAGTCGATGTGCAAAGATTTATCTCATGTATTGTACTCTTGGCCATGCGGCCTTTGATACCGAATAAATTTCTTCTTCTTCTTCTTCTTCTTTGTGAGTCGTCTTCCGGAATTATTTTTTTTCATTACAAATGTAGAACCTTGAAACGTAAATCCTCTCTTCCTAAACGCAGGGAAATTTCACTACCCCTTGTAATTGCGACTTAAAAAGTAGTTCCGAGTGTGCAAAATTTAAATAGAATATAAACAAAAGTAGAAAATAATATTTAAGTTCACTAATTCTTTATCAAAAATATGGATATGATTATGTCGCAAAATCAAATTTAACCGCTGTTGGAAGCGAAGGAATACACGCGGGTCTAGTAAAAGAAATGGCGCTTTGCGAAACGAACAGTCTAGATTTACGAGTTAAATGAGAAATTTACAGTTTATATGGAAACATTTTTAAGAGAATTACAAACGGCAAGAAACGACATTAACTCTATAAATGACCATGTGTCGTTGTTTTGCCTTGTCCTGTCCTTATGGAACTAATGTAATCAGGAAGTCAACAGTTTATGTACGTGACAGACACTTACGTTAAAGGGAGACAATGCGCGAGGAGGTACCGCTAATAAATGTTTATTGAATATATTGTTGTTTTAATTGCCAGAAGCCTGTAGACATTCTGTCACAACACGGTTCACACACCAGCAGCTATATTGCACCAACCTGTGTGCAATCAATTGTTATCATACTACATCCAAATTGTATAGATTCTTATATGTATTTGTTTGTTTTTTAATTTCATTGCGCGACGCACCGAACGTTATTTCTGACACTCAAAGCGACATGACACACGTTGTTTTGAATAGGTATTGAATCGTGATGGTACTGATTGAAACTGAAGCAGGGAATAACAATATTTCGAAAATACTGTGTATATCCCATTTCATAATATTACAGTGTAGCACGTATCTGAGTACAGTGCATAGATGTTACATAGGGGACATTACACAAGGTGGGAATGATAGAATGATATGGTAATATGACTGTTAACTTTAAGTGCCTCACTTGGTTTGTATAATCTCAAGGGGGCTGAGAACGGAAATCACATGGACACTGATCCCTTGACCGGGGTAATAATAACGTTAAGTGTCTGTCAGCTGAGCTAATGTTCCAGTCATTTGTACACATTGCACTTAAACTAAGTATGTCACTCATCGTGTTATTAGATAAATACAAGCGATAACAGCCATGTTTATAATTTATAATACAGAGTCCATTGTACGATTCCGACTTTTTCCTGATCATGTCTTTATGAATCTTTATCACACGATAACAAACACCCTCCATGATGTACATGAGTTTGAGAAATGCGGAGAAATGCGAAGTATGGCTCGAAAGGGTTCCAACAGAATGCCAATTTGACTTCACAAATGAGCACTATTTTGGAAACCGATTTCCGCGTTTACTTATTTTGGCCAAGCGCCTTCATTGCAACACTGTGGGAGATGGGTGGTGTATTATTGATGTTTGAGGACAACTGGTCTTTTTAGTATCCACTAGTGTTGTAGACGGAACTGTGGAAGGCGGTGGTGCGACTCAGGAGAAAAACAGTACACAGCATCATTTAAGCAACTGCCACAGAAACCTACTACATAGGAGCTAACACAATTACTTTTAAACAGCACCATGACCGAATGAAGCATTTCAGCAGGATCATATCAGCAGTAGTCGTCAGCCTTGAGCTCCATCCCGTGATCTATCATCCCCGCATCACCAGCCTCCTAACACTGGCTCACATCACTTCTGTATGAATCATACACATGTAAATAAACATATTTTATGCTGCTTGTACACGGTAATGATGTTGAACAAGACACGAGACGTTGCAGTGGATACATAATAGGTTGCGGTTATCTTCAAGGTTACTTTAGCAA